AAAGAATGCATTTGGTGATAGTAAGGTTGTCACTTGGGAAATCATCACTGACTACTTGGGTGAAGCATTTTTATAATTTGATACAATTATCAACTTGAAATTGCTATGTTCACCCTCTGCAGGCTGTAGCGGCATGCCTTCATCAGTATATACTACACAACTATGCAGACATCAATCACTCAACCATCATGGTACACATGGAAGGGAGACATGACGATACCTCCTTTTCTGTTGCCTTCTAATGCAGGTTTTACAATCGACCAGCCTCCATTGTCATCTACCTCTGTTAAGCAGCACATGTCAGTAAACTGGAATTGCATGTTTTTCCCTGCATTTCCCTACAATAATTGATGTATATCGACCAAGAAGATTACACATGCAGACAAAGTTGATCTACAACAGGTGGATACTAACCTATCTCTTTGAGAAGTACTGCATTTGGGTCAGTTGGAGGACGGTCATATACTCCATGAACATCTGTCTAAATATCAATTTTCAGAGAGCTATGTAAAAGTCTAAGTAACGAAAAACTTGACAAAACAATGAAACATATGAAGCATGATGCATACAAATGGAATAAGATGAAGCCCATCTTATAACAACAAAATTGAATTATAAGAAAGACAGCACAGCCAAGTCAGCAAGTTGCCATACTGTTACAATAAATGATCAAGTCATGGTAAGGAGACAAGGTAACAGTACCAGAAACACGACATATTTTGGAGTCAGAAGCTGTGCAAGGTGGCGTATAATGACATCCCCACTCAATATGGTGCAGTCCTGGTCATTTAATCCTAACATCAGTCTCAGTACAAGTGAACAAAAAGTGTGTACGCCAACCTGTATGTGAATCTAAACAAGAACGTGGGCACAATCCAATTTAAAACTCACCAGCGATTCATCAAGAACAGCATCTCCGTGCAAAACCTGCGAGGAAATGGACCATTATTCTACATAGAAAACCGTAGCTGCAAGTTTGTATTCTTCTTCATATGTAGATGAAAATAGAACAGGTGGGGGAGTTAGGCGATGCTTCCCTTATTCTTATAACATTACTGGAAAACTGTCCGAGCTATTTCAAATGTCAGAACTGATCTATTACTTAACAATACACCCAGAGCTATGTTGGGAACATATATGTATTGTGAATCATTGCAGCTTACCAAAAGTATTAGTGAAAGCTCCATGTAAACAATGCTCATTAAACACAAGTCTAAAGAATATGCCTAATATCCAGAAACAACATTTTTGCCGCATATGATTCACATAATTATCGTACTTGAGCTGAAAACTTAGATCAAAGCAAATTTCTACAGAAATAATTACTCAAGAACCTAAGGTGCAACAGCTTACAGGGACAAAGCCAGCATGGAGTGACTCAATGATTTGAGAAGCATTGGCTGATGCAAGCTGCAAATGCACATATGTCAACATCTTTGTTTACAGGATTAGACATAGAACCACAAGAACTGTGTATTGTCAGGTGTCCATCCAAAGATGCAACAATCCTCTAGTTTGCTCACATTTCTTCGCTGAGTAGACCATCCACAAGCAAATGGTGACATCCCAACAGACGGTATTCCTTCTGCAGAAGCACTTCCACAAGTCATTTATTTACCACTGATTCACACTTAACAAATTAATAGTTTTTATAAAACATATATTACAAAATCGATATATAAGCTGGTCAGGTCATTGAAAACACATAGTAGATATATGAATTGTTATTGATATATGAACATGCATCCTTGCAATGTTAAGTAAAAACTTCAGATCACGACATAATTCATTCAGACAAAGGAACACATGCAGATCCTGTGGAAAAACAAGAATAAACATAATCATGAATTTTCAATACCTATTCAAGACGACACTAGTGACAACACACTAGTTGATTACTTTACCATAATGATAGGTTACCATGATAAGCATGTAGCTGAATTATTAGCATAAAATGCACTAGTCTTCATTTCTATGTCGTGTACCTCTTGCCAAGGCTCTAACAATTTCCTGGTTGAGAGAAGTCACCTATGTTGCAACATGTATATCATTAGAACACTGTTTAAGCATTGCATCACAGAAGCATGGCATACATCGACAAGATCCTGAAAAAAATAAGGAACTGGAAGTTATGATATCCACATGATAGTGAAATTTTAGAAGTGCACCGTACTGAAATTCTTGTAGCCACAAAGCCAGCCTTCACGAGTGTTGAATGCAACCCTCCTTTATGTACTCCAGATCTACTTGCTTGGAAGTGGCCAAAAGAACCTGAAGTAGTAAATTCAGATAGAGAACTATTACAATATTGATATCATGACACTAATTTTACAAACTCAAACTCTAGCAGCCCAATTATAGTTACAGGGATTACGGGTACCATATAACATTGGAACTGACCCACTTCCCTGGTTGTTCAGCACTATCCTACAGGCAGACCCTGGAGACTATCAATCAGACCCATCGTATGCTAAATATCTTCCAAGCAGGTTATTTGCACTAATAATCTAAGCATGGCTCGCTCACTGAGAGGCATTTCAAGGCCACTTGGTAGTTAGCGTCAATTTTGACAGCACGTAGCATCCCAAATTATGTTCATCAGTTCATGTGGATTCTACTCCCAAATAGAAATCACCTAGTTCAGCTCATCAGCAAGCGTAAGACAGAGAACCAGTGCCCAGAGGCAACACAGATTCCGAGCTATATATACCTGCGCCGTGGACGACGACGAAGTTACTGTCGAGACCCAGCCCCGCCATACCCGCGAACCCCTCGGCGTCCACGACCGGGTCGGCCGGATCGCCGGGCCTCCTGCTCCAGTCCATCCCCCTAACCTTCTCCGGGGCGGTGCCGTCGGACATGGCCTGCCGCAGCTGCGCGCACGCCGACCGCAGGCTCTCCTCATCGATGCTCTCCAGCTCCCCCTTGTTCGTGATGGCCGCTCCGCCTGCGCCAGCACAGAGTTCGTCGAATCAGCACCGGCTGGAGAGGCGTACGCCGGTACAGAGGCACACAAGGGAAACACACAGCCGGAGAGAGCACCTAGCTTAACGATGCACCGGACGGGGCGGGGCGCGGCGGGGCTCCGCTGCTTCGGTGCCGCCTCCGCCATGGGAGCTCCTCTCCTCGTCCTCTCGCAGTCTCCTCCGATGACCGCTGGCCGAAAGAGCGGAGGGCTCGGGAATCTGAGCACCACTTCAGTTCAGCGTGACCATGGTCGGATCTACAGTGTGGAAGCTACAGATTTTAGACCGGCCCATAGTCCCATACCATTACAGATGGGCCTGAGAAAGAAAGGCCCAAAAAAATCGTCCCGACCCGTCTCAGCCCAACAAACACTGGGACAGACGCACCGAGCCCCTGCTCGTCCCCGACCTCGGCGGCTCGGCTCCCGATCTCGCTGGCTCGCTGCCTGCCTCGCCGGACGCCGTCAGACGTCGCTGTGTGCCTCGTCATCGCTAGACGTCCAGGAGCCGCCCCCGGCGCTTGGCGCCCCTGCAAGCAACCACCGTCCGCCCAGCCCGCTCTCCGCCGGGCAGCAAGCCTTGAGCCCGATTTGGGGACTTGAGGTAAGTTGTCAACTGTGGCACTGCCCCTTCCCAATTCCTGATTCAGGCTTTGCTCTTTGCTATCTATTGCATCAACCAGGTGGAAGAGTCTAAGTCTATTGCGTTAGCTAAACAGCCGGACTTGCTATCCAGTACATGAACACACAGTCCTTTTATTTCAAATTAAAAAACACACACAGTCCTGTGAACACATACACATTATTTTGCTATCCAGTACTTCAACACCTGATCAATGACAAAATAATGATTTGTCTGATTGTTTGCCACTCTTAACAAGTTACTCGAGCGACGCCACTCTTAACAAATTAACAATGCCACACGGTCTTTTTTGAACTTCTCAAGATATGTATTATGTACCAGTATTCTCTTATGCAAAATTGAGAATTTTAATATGTCTGTAAGACCATATTGATATATTTCTATGTGCTATTGGCAAATTAATTAGAATGTTGGCATGTCATATTTGTTGTCGAAAGAAGAAGATGGACCACCCTGTTTTAAAATCCTAGATCTCTCGCTCCAAGGTCTCTCCAATTAGACGCCGTCGACTGGCTCCTAGCCCTAGGTCGCCAGATCTCCGACACCTCCTCTAAGGCCGCTGTCTGTTCGCCAACGCCTCCTCTCAGGTCGCAGTCTGCTACCCGCTCTCTCCGGCATCCCAGGGCGCCGCTCCCTCCCGGCTCACCACACACTCGCCTCGTCCCTTCAGTATAGGTCAGTGATATTTAGCAAATGAACTACGCATTCAGATGTGTATGATTGAAGGTTTGTGTTATATGCTTTCTTGCAATACCACATTTGTCTTACATCTTTCTCTGTTCGCACTTGAAAGCACAGGAGGTGTACAATGAGGCTGTTGAAAGCGGAGGAGTTGTTCCGGAAATTGCTTGAGGGTGGGTCCAAGAAACAGCCTCGGCTTCTCGGGCTCGATGTCGGTAGTAAGTACGTCGGGCTGGCAGTTTCTGATCAGAAAAACAGGATTGCCTTGCCTCTAAGGTATGGGCTTCTAGCAATTGGTGTTGAGGACGTGTTTCTTGATGCAAATGTAAGTGGTCATGTATGCTTGTAAGTGATGCACAAGAATGGTTATATATTCCATTCCTCTTAATGGCTTAATGGAGTATTTTTTCTGTAAGTAATATTACAAACCATCACCCTGTTGGAATTGGACTGTCCAACCGCAAACAAAGCACTACTAGTAATTCATTGAATTTGTATGCGGACTTGCTCTATGCATGATTGTGTTAGGACTAGAGTGGTGTCTGCATGTTGATGTTGGCATAACTTCATTTTATATGAAATGACTGTAGACCTTCAATTTTGTTAGGAAAAAACTAGTGGTGTGGTTTACAAAATCCTGTGACACACATTTCTATTTTATGGACCTGTTTCGATCACACAACTTCTTTGCTTTCATATTTATGTGCCCTGTAAGGTTTGTTTGGATAGTAATCATGACTTTCCTGTGTTTGATATGTTTCACCCAGACCAAGAGTGGCTTGACTCAGTATAGTAATGATTGTCATTGCCATTATTTTCCCAGTTTCTTGGACATGGGATGTCATCTTAATTCTGCAATTATGTGCTTGGTCTATTGTCGTGAGTACTTTTATCTTGAGAGAAAAAAAATTATGATAGCCCATTAGCTTAGGATGGGTGACCTCCTGGGAAGTCCTCGTGAAAGGGTTTCATATCTAGCCTACCCCAACTTTTTTGGGATTAAAGGCTTCGTAAGCAAGTAAGCAGTAGCTTCTCTTTTCTATAATTTGGTGATGAGATAGATGACACGCTTGCATTTCCTTAATAAGGTAAAATTACATATTGGGATTGACAAGTGCATTGATATTCTGCAGTGTCTTGGGTAGGACAAAGACAAACATTAATTTGATGGCAGACGATTTCAAAACACTGGTATGTTATACTTGTTCACGTTTAAAACTTACTGATAAACACAAGATCAAGTACTCAATAAAAAGACTATCATTTTGTTCTGTAATTAATGCTTGTCTGCTCCCACCACCATTTTTCAAAAATTATCTTTGATTGAAACTGATTTTGCTTCTGAAAATGCAAATTTTGCTTCAACTTAATGTGGAAAATCGAAAAAGGAAATGTGCTCTTATTGGCATTAAGTCAGGGTTTCAGGTCTATCTGTATTGGCTTCTTTACTCAAGTTACCCATTTCATTTACCTTTCTAAGATATTTAAGGGTGACACTGATAATTGACCACAAACAAATCAAAACAGCATCATATGTAGGAAGGGTATTTTTTGTGTGTATCTAGCTGTACAGAAAAGATTCTCACCTCTGATAGGCTTTAATCTGTGGATGGGCAAATAACTATTTGTCCCACTTTGCAAAATTCAACTAAAAAGTTCCAGGCATGTTATATCGCAATGCTGGTGCTAACTTGGAGTGTCATGGCCTCGTGGATGGATATCACAACTCTTAACTTAGATTTGTGCATAGAATGGTGCTGATGCAGGCTTGGTCGAAGCTCATTTACAGATGTGCGCTGGGAGCCAGCAAACACTAAAATCGGCTAGTATTGTCAATCTTATGGCGCATCTGGAATAAGAGGAATATGTAGAATCTTCTAGCAGAAAGAGAAGATATATGTGACATATATTCCAGAAGTTCAAGCGAAAGCCATCACCTGGCGAAGCATGCACAGATAACATGAAGGAAATATACCCAAATATGTTAGCCTTTTCAATACTGCACCAAACAGTTTTGCCAATAATATGCACGAGAACTGCATGTAATTTATTACTCCCTCCGTTCCTAAATATTTGTCTTTCTAGAGATTTCAACAAGTGACCACATACGGAGCAAAATGAGTGAATCTACACTCTAAAATATGTCTATATACATCTGTATGTGGTAGTCCATTTGAAATCTCTAGAAAGACAAATATTTAGGAACGGAGGGAGTAAGAAGCAACACTGCACCACATTATGCATAGATAACCCATTTAGGGTCCGTTGGGCATCTGGTGGCCTTTCAAGTGTAGCTTCGCTGTTATCCTTTTTTTTAGAACCATAACAAAACTATCTTACTAGAGTTAGTAAGCATTCTTATAGATTTCGAATCACAGTGCAGCACAGCACATCAAACACTGGTAGTAGTGTTTGACAAGTTTACAGACTTAGTGATTTCTCATTCATTACTTTGTTCAGTTGTTCCATATGTTATATTTTTTCTGGGTTTCTGACCTCTCTTTAATTTTCAATTATGCACATTGAAGATAATGCCATTTTTTGTTTTCTGAATAGGTTAAAAACTACTCCCTTGCCGGGCTTGTTGTGGGTTATCCATTCAACCTACAGGGTCAATCTTCTCCAGATGTACAGTGCCCTTTTGGTAGTATAGTTCATCTCCTGTTTCACTTTATGTTTTCTAATGTTTCTTTTTCTGTAAAACAGGCATCACAAGTAAGCCTTCTTGTAGGAGAACTTTGTAAAACTGGGAAACTTGATGATTTGAGCTACACATATTGGGATGAAAATTTTACCTCAAAGGTGATAGCCCCTTTTCCTCTGTGTGCCTTCTTATTCAAATATGATAAGGTGTGGACTGCAGTACTGTTTTGGCCATCGGATACATTGTAGTTATTAAGACTGCTATTAGGCTGTTTTGTGGGGAAATGACTGTCATGTCTCTTTTACAAGTATTTGATTGTGAAGTTTTCTGATCGATCTTGCTTTTTGGTTCAAATGATGCTGTTTCTCCAGTGCGTAGAAGCCCTTTTAAATCCTCTGAAACTAAATGATCCAGTTGAGACGAAAACAATGACAGATAAATTTGCTGCAGTTTGCATTCTCCAGGTACGCCCACCAAATCCAGGATGACATCATACTCCAATCACTGGGTTCATGTTTTCAGTTGGCATAATCATTATAGTAGATCTTTGGGCCATTCAGTCGAGAACTGCTATTAGTCGCATTGAGAATTTTCCTTTGTGGACAGGGTTATTTAGATAACATGAACAGGGCATTGAGACATGCAGATAAGTGTGAAGAGTAACTTGAGCTCAGCTTCTGGTAAGTGCTTCTTTGTATAGTGTGGCCTCTTTGTTTGTTTCTTTCTTGTGTGTGTGTGTGTGTGTGTGCGTGACAACTGACATCTTTGTTGTTTACAATTTGCATAGGTCAATGAACATTTATACCTCTTAAAAGTTCTTCAGCCTTGCAGTCTTTGGTCGAAGCATGGTTCTGAAAGCATTTCCTTTTCCCGTACCATGAAGCATATTTCATTTAGCTTTTTTAACCGACACTTTCGTTTAGTTGGTCGAGGCGTGAGCTTAGCTCCGAGCTGGTGTGTTGTTAGGCCTCTGATGTGGTGCAGAACAGGCATATTTCGCTGACAGTGCATCACCTGGGCAAAAGCAGCTTTCGTACTTGTCTTATGGAGGCAAATTAGTCGTAACTGATGTTAATCTATTGGGAAGATCCTTTCTCCCCTTCTTTCCTTGCAACCTCAGTCTGCTTATGAGATTCTCGGCGTAAGCTGATGATGATGCCCCATGCTCGGTAATGACCA